AGTTAATTTTTCCAAAGATAAACAATCGAGTCTAGAGGCAACGAAAAAAATGTATGAATGAATATTACAAAGCGTTGTGACAGAAGACCTACCTTTGTGGAACTAATTAATGTTAAGGCAAGATCCGATTTTGTTATTACACTACCCGGATCTCTTGAGCGTACATTATTTTGGGCCGAGAAGCTTCTAATAACAATCGAAGTTAGTAGATATTTGTTTCATCAATGTTTTATGTTTTATTTTGTTTTGTGTTTTCAATTTCATTTGAAATTTATCGACAGGAAGCATGGCCCAGGTGAAAGGTGAGAATACATAAAACGTCTGGCTTCTTTGGAAAAGAACAATGTAGGACTTAAATCGAACTAAGTCAACCTAAAGCCCCTTTGTTTATGTACGAAGAAGCCAGAGTCCATCCATGAAAACTGCTAACAAACTTCATTTGGAGTTTCATAATCTGGAGACAATTTTCGTTACAAAACGAAAAATAAAATCCACTGACCGCGACACAATAAACAAAATTGTTAATGATGAGGAACTCCTCAAGAACGTGTTCATTCCAGTTGAAATCTGTGAAACTTAGACCTGTCGTGCAAATCCCATCTAACGAAGTACTTACTAAAGAATTTCTATACAAAAAGTCAAAAGATCTACCAGGTCCAATATGGAAAACCAGGACGTTAGAATCAACTCTGATGCTTACCATTAATGCATGGTAGAAGAATATAGGTAGACGCGTCGACACAGCTGATGGGACAATGAACTGTCAAACCAATTTTGAAATTGAAATTGTTGAATGAAAAATTATTTAAATTTGTAAAAATTGTGGAAAACGCGAATTATAATAGCCACCGAATGACGTAGTATAAGAAAACATATAAAAATCTACTTATATTTGAAAAAAACATTTAATTTTTTTTGACATATCAAGCGTTGATGCATCTACCTGTATTCTTCTTCCATGCATTGATGCTAATAAACTACCTTCACATGTATGTATAAACAAGGAATTTTTCATGGCGAAGCCGTTTATCGGGCGGTGTCTCCAATGGAAGAAATGCTGGAAGTTTGGACATTCGACAAGAGTAAGTAACCGTTCACTGCAATTGTGTCTCGCTGTGATTCGGCACATGAGGGTACTTGCCTTACGATACCAAAGTGTATCAACTGCGGCAAACCCCATGACGCCAGGCCCAATCACTGTGAACTGTGAATAAAGCTTATGAATAAAGACAAAAATGTAGCATATGAGAAAACTCCTAAACTAATTTATAATGTCACGGCTTTGTTCAGCAAACCACCTCCCCAAAACCTTTTTAATCTATCCTAACACGACTTTCCGGAAATCAATGCCTAGAGGTCGAAATCAAAAGGCAGTATGGAAAGGAAACTACTGTAAACATACAGGACATCCAGACCTTAAATTTTGTCTGCTAACATTGGCCCAACTGGTGATCTTTCGGATACCGAAACTCAATCTCTCAGTGCTTTAGAAACTTCGTCCATTGAGTTTAATCCTATCCCATTGGGCAATTCTACATGCGCTGAAAACGGCAATAACAATTTAAAACCAAATTATGCAAACGACATAAGTGACATTCATATAATAAAGAGAAAATTTGTTGTCGTAGTAATAACCATGGTACAATGAAGAGAAGGTAGGTCAACTTTGAAAAAAATGCAAGTATAGAGGTCTACCTGTTTGGCTTGTAATGTCAGAATTACTATCAAAATAATAAAAAAAAACAACTTGTTGCATTGATTTTGAATAAATAATTTAAAACCACGAAAACTGAATGAATGGTCAAAATTTATTTTCAATATCATGTTCAATGTGTCTCTTATGGTTTATTTCGCGACAAAAACTGTAGATTTTGTCGATGCATTCGTTGCAATAAGCATTTTGAAAACACCCGAATTTTAATATTTTCTGAACAATTTTTTATTATTGAAAAAAAGACACACACATAAGCAAATGAAGTTGACATATTAAGCCAGAAAAATAAAAAAATTTAAATCATATGGTAGTTCTGCCCTACCTTGAATTCATTGTACCATGGTAATAACTTTTTTATTATTGGAGTTCTGGAACAGACCATATATTACGACAAAAGAACAGAACATAATCTTACCAAACTTCAATATGAATATTTACTTTAAGCGAACCTACTTGTTCCAAATGTTTCATTCATGGTAGAAAAATAAAGGCATGTACGAAAATAATTAGATTTTTAATTTAATTTAATTTTTCATTCAAAAATTTCATTTCCAAATTTGGCTTGACAGTTTATTGTCTTATCGGATGCGACTACCTGAATTCTTCTACCATGGTTTCATTTCTTAACGTTTGTAAAAGACGCCCTACAGCTGTTGACATTGTTGATTTATTCGATGTAAACAAGGCAAAATTAAGAAGGTGAAGTCAATTTAGATAAGGATTTTCTATAATTTACCTTATCAAATTTAACTTCATAGAAAAAGGGTTCCCATCTCTGATTACAATGGATTTATAAATATAAATTTTGACAATGAGATATTGTCGAATGAATAAATTTGAAAAAAATTTTAAACATGACTTTACCTTCTTTATTTTACCATGATATTCTTAAGTCAAATTTCACTGCATAAAAACTGGCTCCCGTATTCGATTGGTGTACACACAATGGATTTTTGAAGGTGAAGTCAATTTAGATAAGGATTTTCTATAATTTACCTTATCAAATTTAGCTTCATAGAAAAAGGGTTCCCATCTCTGATTACAATGGATTTATAAATATAAATTTTGACAATGAGATATTGTCGAATGAATAAATTTGAAAAAAAATTTAAACATGACTTTACCTTCTTTATTTTACCATGATATTCTTAAGTCAAATTTCACTGCATAAAAACTGGCTACCGTATCTGATTGGTGTACACACAATGGATTTTTGAAGGTGAAGTCAATTTAGATAAGGATTTTCTATAATTTACCTTATCAAATTTAACTTCATAGAAAAAGGGTTCCCATCTCTGATTACAATGGATTTATAAATATAAATTTTGACAATGAGATATTGTCGAATGAATAAATTTGAAAAAAATTTTAAACATGACTTTACCTTCTTTATTTTACCATGATATTCTTAAGTCAAATTTCACTGCATAAAAACTGGCTCCCGTATCCGATTGGTGTACACACAATGGATTTTTGAATAAGCATTTTGACAATGAGGTGTCAAATGAATGTTTTAGAAAAAAAAATACATGTGATTGCATGACTTTACCTTCTTACCTCAATAGCCACCAGTCACAACCCTGTCAACTCCTTCCCGGAACTGTCCCCTTTATACTTAAAACAAAAAGAAAGATCCTTGGCCATGGCACAATTACAAAAGGTAGAACAAAGCTACCCCCAAATACTTTTTTTGGTGCCCTTATTCTGTCAAAACATATAAACATTTTGTGTGTGTACTGTTTCGAATAAAAATACTATCATTTGAAATTATTTCAAATTTGGTAGCAAAATAAATGCAAATTTTCGACGTAAATGGGTAATAAATTGTATAATTTTGTGATAAAACTGTATTATCCTACTATTGGAATAACATACTAGTGGAATATCCTCGAAATTCCGTCCTTATTTCTCCGGTTTTTCCCGATATAAGAATTCTGTAAAAAATTAAAAATAAACAAAGCCAATTGTAGCATATTAAAAAGTCTATTTGACACTATAAGACTCCAGCACAGGGTTGCATTTCTCTAGTTTCTTTGAAGTTGAGCAACCTTTCTTATTGAGCCATGCTTATACCCATGGTACAATGAAGAGAAGGTAGGTCAACTTTGAAAAAATTGCAAGTATAGAGGTCTACCTGTTTGGCTTGTAATGTCAAAATTAGTATCAAAACAATAAAAAATTAAACAACTTGTTGCATTTATTTTGAATAAATAATTGAAAACCGCGATAACTGAATGAAAGGTCAACACTTCTTATCAAAATCATGTACTATATATCTCTAAGGGATTATTTCACTACAAAAACTCTAGATTTTGTCGTTGAATACGTTGAAATAAACATTTTAAAAACATCCGAATTTGAATATTTTCTGAACAATTTTTTTGTTATTGGAAAGAAAACACATACATAAACAAATAAAGATGACATATTAAGCCAAGAAAATAAAAAAAAAATTAAAATCATATGGTATCATAGCCCTACCTTGATATCATTGTACCATGCTTATACCCATGGCAGAAGATTACAGGTAGATGCATCAATTCTTGGGAACATTGATATGTCAAAAATTTTAAAATGTTTTGTCCAAAATAAGAAGATTTTTATATGTTTTCTTATACAACGCAAATCTGAGGTTGTAATGATATGTCTTTTCCAGCATGTTTTACAAATTTCAATAATTTTTCATTGAATGATTTTCAATTCCCAGTTCATTGTCCCACCAACTGTGTCGATGCGACTATCTGTATTCTTCTATAATGTTAATACCCATGAACATGGTATAATTATTACAGGTAGCAACAAATTCCAGTTGATTTGACTCTATAATAATACTAGTGCAAACTCAATATGAGGGTTTGGTTTCAATTTGAAAGGGATGTTGCATTTTCCACGACTTTCTAGCGATTTCTTGGTGTTGATAGATTAGGACCTACAGCTAACAACTATACATTCAGGGGAATGGTATGAAAGCAATCAAATTAACTAATTGATGAACTATTCTTCTGCTTTTTAAATTTAATAATCAAAATTCCAAAAATGTATATTTTTGAAATCAAAATAATTTATTGAAAATTAATTATTTTGTTTACATTTTTGGAAATATAACTCTGACACCTGCATTACTTACAAAAACAAATTTGTATGTGGTTGTTGTTACGATTGTTGTACAACAACCCTTGCTGTTACCTGTATTATTCTACCATGACCCATGAAAGTGGCAACATAGACATAGATGAAATGAAATATCAAAATGCATTATTGTGATTGATATCAAAGAACAAAACACAAACAACAGACAACAGACAAAAATGTAAACAATTTTTGACAAGACTGTTGAGTTGTTGAAAACACTTTTTGATTTCTATAGATGTTAGAAAGTTATTTAGTTTTCTAGATAGTGTCAGATTCAATCCAAAATGTAAATTATTAATTTTCATAAATTGTTTTTATTTTAAAAGTGTATATCGCTCGAAACCTGAATAAACTATCCCTAAATGTTTAATTTTAGTGCTTTCTTATCTTTCCTCTCGACGTTTAGTTGTCAGTTGCAAAGAAATCGTGTCAAGGAATCTTTAGGAAATCGTGGAAAAACCAACATCCCTGTGATCGATTTATGAAAATAAATGGAAGAGAAAAGTAAGTGCAATGCATATATTCGTGAATGATATCTACCATTAGTTATATTTTTCCTTATCAATCATTATTTCAGAGTATTTAAAACGTAAGGAGAAGGCCCTAAAGGAGGGAAATCGCGAAGTTTTGGCGCAAACATGCAATCATCTAGGAGATTTTTACAATCAACAAGGCCGTTATCAATGTGCAGTAAAAGAATATGAGGAAGAGGCAATTTTATATTCAAAATTGGGAAAACAACTCGAAATGGCTAAGGCCCATCGTATGGTGGGCGAAATGTATATGTTGCTCAGTGACTTTGACAATGCAAAATCCCAAATTAACACCTATTTGAGTAAGTTGATGTGAAAGTCGTAAGAGTCCTGGCTATAAAGCCGCAATATATATTTTCAGAAATTGTGAAGAAACTTCAAAACAAAGTTGAGGAGCAAAGAGCCTTTGCTACACTTGGGAGAGCCCATTTGTTACACGGCCAAGCCCTGAGTGAAACAACTGCCTCCAGTTCAATAAATGAGTTGCGTCAGGCTGAGCGTGCCTTTCTCAAGAGTCTCCTGCTGACAAAAGAGTGAGTATTTTTAAGCAACTCAAGTTGCTACTTTATGTTTTGGACTATAATGTTGCGTTGTCCTCTAAGCGTTGTTTACATGATGGTGTGTTTATTAGTAAAATATTTGTCTTGGTACTGTTTATCAATTATGTAGCAAATGCGTTTACGACTCTCAGACGAAGATCATTGAAGGGAGCAATTGTGCGGAGTGGAAAATATCATTTTTCTGTGTTTAATTTTAGGTTAACTGGTCAAATATCTAAACTTGAGCAACTTGATATGCAGGCGCGATGTTATCTCAATATAGGTGTCGTGAAAGAACACATGGAGGATTTCGAAGAATCTATTGCAAATATGGAAAAGGCCCTAAAAATCAGCAAATCGAATGACATATTCGAACTTACTCACACCTGCTACGTTTCGATGAGCCTGCTTTACCATTGCAAAAAGAATGACCCTACGTCGGCTTTAAGATTTTGCAACTTAGCCTTGGAAGCAGCTAAACGACTGCAGCAGAAAGTAAAGAAAATTTGTGAGACGCTCATAATCAAGTCGGAAATCTTGGTAAAGGCAGGAGATTTTGCCAGTGCTAAACAAATTCTTACAAAAGCCTATAAAAAGAACACTCCGGATGAAAATGATCGCCAAGCTATAGAGAAATCGTTGCGCATTGGTAAGCTGATTTCTTTAATTTCATAATTTCTAAACACTACAGTTCATCAGAACAGAACAACAGTAACATTTTATAGGTTGCTACCAGCTTCTTAAATTTTTTTTCTATGGATTGTCATTTAATTAAGTCACTCTACTAATTTATTGTTCCCGTACTTTATGGAAACAGTAGATTTCACGTTTATTATTATTCTGTTGTTCTTACCATTAAAAAAGCTTAGGTTGTCGTCTACTACAACACAAGCTAATGACAGTTTGCAGGAAAAAGTTTTTACTAGGTATTTCTAGTTTTTAAAAAAACTTAATGTCTTTCCCTCTTTCCGGAGAACTTATCTGGCTTATTTTACTGGAAATGTATACGAATTTATACTTATTTAATCTATCCGATTTCTCGAAAGAATATTCAAATTAAGTATATTTTATCTAGTTTATTAGTTAGTGATATTTTTATCATTCCTAGTTGTAAAAATATGCAGGACTCTTGATGAATTGGTGACAACAAGCTCGATCGATTATGAAAAACGTAAACATCTGTACGAAAAGTTAGGTGACTACTGCTGCAATCTGTTTAATTATGCCAAAGCCTTGGAATATTATGGCAAAATGCTTGAGTGTGCCGAACTTAACAATGAAGCAGGCAAATCGTTAATACCAATCTATGTCAGCTTGTATCAAACGTACAAGGACAACAACCAGTATGATGAGGCTCTAAAGTATCTGTGGAAGGAGTTTGATTTGAATAAAGATGTTCCGAAGGAAGCCTTTTCGACACTGTGCACCATCGCTGAAGTTTGTGAAATGCAAAAACAATCGTTCTGGACCATACATGACATTTATCAGAAAGCAAAAGAGCAGGCTATGTTAGCAGGCGACAAGCAGAACAAATTGGAAAAAATAGTATATGCTCGATTGAGGAAACTTCAATTGAAACACAACATGAATGTTCTAGCAGAAGAATTGGCCCAGGAAGCAACGAGCAGAGGTATGTTCGAAAGTTCATTTAACTCAACATTTTTTGAGATTTTTTAAGATATATTAATATACCTTAACTTTTTTGCAGGCATAGATATAAAATCTCTAGAGGATGACAGCGACACAGAATCCGAGAATGTAAATTCGGAAAATGCGGCCCCCGACTCGGATGAAGATATATGTCTTGAAGATCTTACTGATTCCGATACAAGCGACTTGGATGAGACAGAGAAACCAAGGCCGCATAGAGTAACACGGGGAACGCGATCACTAACTATTAAACGCAATAACAAAGGTGAGACACAACTCCACCAGGCTTGCATAGCGGGTAACATCGAGCTAGTCCGTCGTTTAATAGATCAAGGGCATGTTGTCAATGTCAGAGATCACGCTGGTTGGCTACCGCTACATGAAGCATGTAACCATGGTTTCCGTGATATTGTAGAGTTGCTGCTCGATAGAGGAGCTTCGGTAGCTATAAATGACAAAGGCGGTACAAGCTGCGATGGAATAACCCCATTGTACGATGCTTGTTCTAATGGTTTCTTTGATGTCATTGAGTTATTGTTGGAACGCGGTGCAGACGCTACTGTAAAAACCGATTTTGGTGACACTTGTCTGAGTAGCTTGGATAAATGGCGCCATTCAGCCACGTTAACTGAAGGCGACCAAGCTCAATATGAACAAGTGAGAAGTAAACTTATAAAGACATTATCAAAAGTGGGGATATGTTCGTCACAGTCTGTCAAGCCTCTGACAAATGCAAACGTAAGCTACAGCCGAAAAGATCATTACAAGAAAAGCGATCAAGGTCTTCTGACAGATGACGAAAGCAGCAACAACACGGACGAAGAGGAAAACATTCTTCCCACATCTTCGTCGCGATTGAATCGATCTTTGGATAAATGTAGAACAAAGTCGCCAGTTTGTGCTGGAACGGTATACAAAAATGCAATTGAGCAGCTTAAACGACCACTGCATAGGCAAAATTCGTCAGAAAGTGAGATGGAGGTTGGATTAGTGACAAAGAAACATAAACGGGGCGGCTATATGGATATCGAAGATGTGGATGACGATTCATGGCTCATCGACGATATAGGGCCCGACAAGAAAAGGCGCCGATTCCATACTACCCCCACGAAACAGTTACGGCAGGCCATCAAATCGCCTACTAAAGATAATTACGTCAATGAATCCAATAGTTCAAGATGGAGCAGAGAATCCATATCCCCCGATAATGATGCGTTCCAAGTACTTCTAGATGCGGCAACAGGCACAAGTTCCCAACAACGACATAAGCAAGCCAAGAAACTATCGCTGTCGCGAAAATCAAGCACGTGTAGTAATGCAAGTGGTTCCCAAACATCGCATCGCACGAAACCGAAGCATCAGTCTTCTCTTATGGACAGCGGATTTTGCCGTTTTCGCAGCGAAAGTCCCCATCCGTACAGTGAAGACTCAAATGACACAAATACGGCCATAAGTATTCGCACTGAGCCCGATTCTACCACAGCGTCAATACAATTGTTAATTTCGCCAACGAAATCGTCACCCATAAAAGTGCAAACCACTCAGTTATGTTTACCCACAACCACATCTTTTAAAGTCAAAGTTGAAGATGAAATGCTTTTGGTGCCGATCGAAAGGAAAAAGTTAAACGACATAAATATGCGTTGGCTGGCCGAAGAAGCGGCCCGTAGGTATTACAAGTAAGTGTGGCAGCAAATTTCTTATTGACGTAAAAAGTTTAGTGCTCTTTTTCAATTCAAATGATAGTTTGGTCGGTCTGAAACCCACATTACGTCTTAAAACCGCTGATGGATTTGCCTACGAAGAAAGTGACCTTGTAGCTGTGGCCGTTGAGCAAAGCATGATCCTAGCCACAGTTCTTGAATGGCAAATTTCTCCTTTGGGTCAACGCTACGAGGAAATGTGCATCCAGTTACATAGAGGTATTACAGGCAGTATTTTCTTCGATGCAATTATTCCTAAACTTACACTGAATGTCTTCGTATTCTTCTGCTTGTAGATGTGAACAAGGAAGTCTTGGACGTTTTGCAAAGAGCACAGATATCAAATGTTATACATTTAAACGATTTATGGCTACCACCCATACAAACAGAACCCATATTTAAAGCCGTTTTGCACCAGTCTAATTTGAGAAGTTTAGATTTGAGTAATAATTTTATACAAAATGAGGGCTGTCGACAGTTGGCAAAAGCCTTACCGACTCTAAAGCATTTGCGATCGCTGAACTTAAGCAGCAACTTAATTTCATGCGATGGCATTGAAGTATTGCTATCGAGCGCATCCAATTTGAACTGTATTGAAGAAATTATTTTAAGCCGAAATCCTTTGCGAAATGATTGCGTTCGCATTGTGGACCGATTTTGTAGTACAACCGCGGGAAAATCTTTAAGGAAAGTACATTTGTCTCATTGTTGTTTAACAAATGTATACGATTTTGACTTAAATTTTTATGAGCTCGTGGATTTTGACATAAGCTTCAATCAGCTGAAAGAGGAGGCTCTTCACAAAATACTGACAAAATTAAATTCTAGCCGTTTACAAAATCTGAATTTAAACTATATAGATGCAGGTACTAAGAGTGGATGTGCGGCCTTTTCGTCGAGAACAACTGAACGATTAATTACGTTTTTTGAGAGCGGTACATGTGAGAAATTTCGAAATATTTCGCTGGCTGGGTGGCATCTGAGCGACGTTGATATTTATAAAATTGTTTTATGTTTGAGTAGAGCAAACGACTTGGAATTGTTCAATATTTCCGACAACGAACGTCTATCGAATTCTTCCCTTCATTTTATCTTCGATAAAGTTCCGCAACTACGTAAACTTTTGGCTACAAATTGCACACGCCTTTGGGATGTTGACAATTTACAACGTCTTTCGCAATTACAAAACATTCCAAACTATATGTCCATCAGCATGGGATGCGAAAATGCAGTGTCCGATTTAACCCAGCAACTGTCTACTTTATGGAGCTCGTTGTGGGGGGATAGAGGAAAAGTAAAAAAATACGATAATAACATAATTTTATATGTAAATAATAGTGATTTGTTTCATGCGCAAAGTTTTTAATAAATTCAAAAGTGTTCTATCTCCAAAATGGGTTTTAATTGTAAAGAGCAGCTGCGAAATCAACACAAAAGTTGGGAAGCAAAACCACAAATAGTGAAATTGGTCCAAATAATTAATACGAATGTGGAAGAGGAATCATTTGGAAAAAGGTGCTAGGAATTCTTCTGACTGTGGAATTTCTTCTTTTGAAAGAAATTGCTTTCGAAATTAAGTACAATACTTTTAATAATATTATAAAATTTTATATTAATCGATTTTAACAACTTATTTATACACTGTATAATAAAAAAAGTAAAAGCCACAGATGGTACTTCTTACAATACATGTTAATAACTAGATTTGAACCTGACAAGTTTAGTCTCATTGGGATGACTGTTTGGCTGCCTCAAACATGTTTCTTGAAATGATAAGACGCTGAATTTGGGATGTCCCTTCATAGATTTGATAGATCTTGGCATCACGCATCAATTTTTCTACAGGATATTCAGTGTTGAAACCATTTCCACCAAAGATTTGGACGGCATCGGAAGCAATTTTATTGGCCATATCGGCAGCATGACATTTGGCGATTGAAGCATAGTAACTGTTACGGCGACCCTGGTCGACTTCCCATGCAGCCATACGATATGCAAGACGACCGGTTTCTACACCAATAGCCATGTCGGCGAGCATGAATTGCACAGCTTGATGGTAGGCGATGGGAACACCAAATGTTTTACGTTCCAATGAGTACTTGAGTGCCTCGTCCAGGCAACGTTGTGCTAAGCCAACAGCGCCTGCAGCCACAGGAGCACGAGTTTTATCGAAGGTGCCCATTGCAATTTTGAAACCAGCTCCTTCGCCAATGAGTACGTTTTCTTTTGGTACGCGGACATCTTCGAATGTAATACCACGAGTGTCAGATGCACGTTGACCCATATTCATTTCTTTGCGACCGGGGGTTAGGCCGGGAGTATCGCGCTCAACAATGAAACCGGTAAAAGCCTTGCTAGCTGGGCATTTGGGGTCGGGATTTGTGCGGGCCAAAACGAAATACCAGTTGGCAACTCCACCATTTGTGATCCACATTTTTTGTCCATTAATAACGTATTCGTCACCCTTCTTTTCGGCGCGAGTCTTAATACCGGCGACATCCGAACCAGCACCGGGCTCTGTGACACAGTAAGCGGCAACCAGAGGCTCCTCAATTAGACGACCTAAGTATTTCTTCTTTTGTTCTGTGTTGGCGGCGAGAATAATTGGGGTTTGCTAAAATGCGCATGAAAATAGTAAGTACAAGTCGTTTTTGTGCCTGTTGATAATACTTACGCCCAAGGAACTAGCTTCCAAAGCGGTCATGATACCAGTGCAACCGTATGCCAACTCTTCAGCGATCAAACAAGTTGTGAAGTTATCCAGACCCAGGCCACCAAATTCTTGGGGGATATGATTGTTCATGAGGCCCAATGACCATGCCTTTTTGACAATATCCCAGGGGTATTCCCCGGATTTGTCGTATTTAGCTGCAACGGGAATAATTTCCTCACGGGCGAACTTGCGGGCCATGTCCTGCATTTGTTTTTGCTCTTCAGTAAGACCAAAAGATGGCCCGGTTGCAGAAATGTGCGAAACAGCGGCATAATTACGTCTGCCCAATTGGCGCACCGAACTGCCGGCAATCTGAAAAAAGGAATTTGTTTTGGTTGTGTTCAAAGAAGTCTTTAAAAGGCAACTGAGTACAAAGTTAACATTTGTGGTATAGGGTCTCCGTGCTGTTCATTGCGAAAGTTTTATTACTTTATTGTGACTTCTGACTGCTTCTTTCAGAATTCTATACTTCACGAGATAAATACCTCCAAAAAATTTGCTTTGCCTAATCACTTTAAAGTATTCTAAATAATAAAATTTGTAATAATGCTAACGAGGCCCGATTTCTCTTATTACAAACCATCTAAATGTTAAGCGGGGTAAATTTCAAGAATTTCGAGAAAAGGAATTCCGATATACCTTATTGAAATTCAGCAAATATATATTTTTTTTAAATTAAAAGGTAATAAACATATTCGTTACATGAAGAAAAATAATCTATTTTGTTGTTTTAATAAGCAATATTCAAAGGCTACAATGATGTACAATTATATATTCGCGTTCAAGATCCCAAGAGGTATTTTTGGTAATATGATCGTTGAGGGTGTCCTAAACCATACAAAAGAATGATCTATAGTAGGAATTAAAATTATTTATGCAAGTAAAATCCTTTCCATGGTAAAAAGGATATAAATTCATTGAAAATTAGAAAAATATATGGTCGAATATAAGACAGCAAATCATGAATTGTAAATGCAGGCTGGAAGAGTATCATTCCTTAAAAAAAGTAAATAAATCGATCAAAGGGTAAAATATAAACATCAAAATATATGATTGATAAGGAAACAATCACAATAGTAATAATGCAAAATCACGCGTCACAACATATGTATGTACGTATTCATACATACATTGGTATCTAATATAAAATAATTCTGCAAAACAGACACACACAAATATGTATGTACATTGATGCCAGGGTCAAAGTACAAAGTTATGAAGAAACATTTGCGAAATTTTTGACTTGAAATTTAGAATACAAATCGAATTAGCAGATAATAGCACAAAAATTAACAACAATCGAAAAGGTGCCTATAACTAAGCAGACACTATTATTAAAGGAGTTCAAAAATAATATAAAAATAAGATTGATGCCTGTAAGTAGTACAACGTCAGCATTTTCTTGAACAAAGCAACTGTTAATCAATTCAGATGGGAATTTTATACCGACCGGTGCAAAATTGATAAGATCATTACAGTTGATTTAATTACATTTTTGTTCCACTTTTAAAATTCCCTATCTATTCGGAGTGATCGGCGATTTACACATTTTTTTCAATCATATGCTTATATGCTTGTACATTCTACTAAAATACAAATATATTTTTGTCCCACTTTCAGTTTCAAGTTGAATTCACGATGGTCTTAATTTACACACACATATACGTTTGCTAAAATATTGCACGTAGGTACGTACATATGTATTATGGTTTTTGTTTTTAATTTGCACTGTTTTTCGTACTTTCTTTTATATTTTTACTGTTTCTTACTCACTTTATACAAGAGAGACATTTTTGTTTTTATTTGGCCGTGTATCAACCGTCCGCACTCGCTCGCTGCTTGTTTTCGAATGGAGCTGCTTGACTAGCCCCAAACTCATTTGAAATTGCGGCATATTTGTTATCAATTGGACATTGGACCCTCATTGGCTTCTCTTTGCATTAAACAATGAGGCACAGTGACGAACAAAATATGTGCGACCAACATTTTATATATCAAAGGGATGTTGTTAGTTTAATTGTTAAGTTTTTTACCCTGCACCATGTTCAAATTTGACTCACGACCAAATCGGCTATTCTCATAATTCGTAATGATTCGAATTTTATCTGAAAAATGTTTAATGAACATAGGGACAATAGACCTTTTCATTCTAAAATAATTTATTTGTGCAAAAAAATTAATTATCTCATAAAATAATTTGTTATTATTTCATAACCAACTGTCCATGGTAGAAGAATATAGGCAGGCGCATCGACACAGCTGCTGGGACAATGAACTGTCAAATCAATTTTGGAATTGAAAATGTTAAATGAAAAATTATTTAAATTTGAAAAAAATGTTGCAAAACGCTTATTGTAATAACCTTCGAATGACGCCGTATAAGAAAACATATAAAAATCTATTTATTTTTGAAGAAACATTTAAAATTGTTTGACATATCAATGTCCCCAACTGTTTTTTTTTTCTACCATGCAACTGCCGAACAATGTGCGACCAACATTTTATATATCAAAGGGATGTTGTTAGTTTAATTGTTAAGTTTTTTACCCTGCACCACGTTCAAATTTGACTCACGACCAAATCGGCTATTCTCATAATTCGTAATGATTCGAATTTTATCTGAAAAATGTTTAATGAACATAGGGACAATAGACGGTGCCGTGTCATAATTCCCACGGACATAGTCCATACTACAATTATGGGGATTATGACCGTTTTTTTCAGTCATAGCCCCCGTAATAGAATGGGAATTATGTCCAAAAATAAAATCGGCCATAAGAGTAACGGACATAAACCCCATTATGTATGGGGTAGGCATTTTTAATCTAATTACGGCAAAGTATTTTTTTCGTGGGAAAATACCCGGTTATTCGACTCGAAAGTTCGGATACAAATGGAAACAAGTCAAAAATGAACCCATTATGGGATATAATGATCCATATACTTCATTATGGCCTACACTCTTGCCTTTCCTAAATGCTGTCAAATGTGCAGCTATTTATGTAGTTCCAAAGATAGTGACAAATTGAAATTGAGGTTTTCTTCACTAATATGTATTCAACCTTTATAGATTTTTAAATAGCCGGCCTTAGGCCGGGGCTTGATATTTCTTCACCTGGGGTATGTCCAACACCGGCTACGCAATTTTATAACTTTTGTGGGTATGTCCAACATCGGCTACGCGATTTATAGCATTTTGAATCTTTATAACTTTTGAGGTTTTCTCTTCTGGGGTATATCCAACACCGGCTACACGATCCATAGCATTTCGAAACTTTATAACTTTTGTAAGTAGTCGGCCTTCAGCCGGGGCTTGGGGTTTTCCCTTCTGGGGTATATCCAATACCGGCTACGCGATCCATAGCTTTTCTAAACTTTATATCTTTTGTAAGTAGTCGGAATTAAATTTTAAAGCCAATATCTTCGGAACTACAAGAGATATCAATAAATATAACCTAAACTCATCTTCAGCCACGTTTTCTTCTCTTTCTCTTTTTTCCCAAATAAAGTTCGGACTTTATCGTCACATCAAACGGTCATACACCCCATGGGGATTATTTTTTATTATGTGAGTCATGTCCGTGCACCATAATAGACCATGTATAAATCGACTCTCATATAAAAACAAAAAAATTAATATGGGTATGTGCCTGTTTTTTTGGTACGAAGGAAATTTCAACATTTATTATCAATTTGGAGCCTGCTCATAAGATTCGAGGTTGTGTATCAATTTTACATATGATACGCCCAGCGTTGACCGAGTTTAAAAAAATCTTCTGTGGGAGGGAATCAGGCAAAACCATAATAATTAACAACAAACAAATTTAAGAGATAATCTCATTTACCAAATCGGTAATGGCATTTTTTTATTTTGGAGCTCATCCATGGTAGAATAATTCAGGTAACAGCAAGTGTTGTTGTACAACAAACGTAACAACAACCACACACAAATTTGTTTTTGTACGTAATACAAATGTGAGCGTTATACGTCCAAAAATTTAAACAAAACAATTGAATTTCAATAAATAATAAATATTTCGCAGTAGATACAAATAGTTTAGAAGTTTTATTGGCATTAAAAATACCTTTTCATTCTAAACTAATTTATTTGTGCAAAAAAATTAATTATCTCATAAAATAATTTGTTATTATTTCATAACCAACTGTCCATGGTAGAAGAATATAGGCAGGCGCATCGACACAGCTGCTGGGACAATGAACTGTCAAATCAATTTTGGAATTGAAAATGTTAAATGAAAAATTATTTAAATTTGTAAAAAAATGTTGAAAAACGCTTATTGTAATAACCTTCGAATGACGCCGTATAAGAAAACATATAAAAATATTTATTTTTGAAGAAACATTTAAAATTGTTTGACATATCAATGTTCCCAACTGTTTTTTTTTTTCTACCATGCAACTGCCGAACAATGATTTAGTAAGCAAACCACCTTAGTGTGAACATGACAAAAACTTTCGATTACAAAGATCAATTAAAATATGGTACAAAAAAAGGTAAGGTAAAACTACCAGCTGATTACAATTTTTTCTGAGGGTGCCCGACTTCTGCCAATTTTGTGTCTGTATTTATTGTTTTGAAAATTAAAATCATAATATTTTCAAAAACAATGATTGAAAAAAACGCACGAGCATTAAAACTATTAACCAGTTTTGCCATGTAATCGAAAGATTGATCAGTTTATATCATACTTGTGAATGAAAATCTATGCATTTCTTTAAATTTTCACAACAACTTGTTGCATATAATTTTGAATAATTTTGACAGGAAGCGGACATAGGATCAAGGCTGAATATCTGTAGTTTTACGAAGCTGTCTACCTCTTTATTGTACCATGGATTAACATACGACTCGATTCATGGTAGAAGAATATAGGTAGACGCGTCGACACAGCTGCTGGGACAATGAACTGTCAAACCAATTTTGTAATTGAAAATGTTGAATGAAAAATTATTAAAATTTGTACAAGTTCTTGAAAAATGAATATCATAACAACCTCCGATTGGCGTCGTATAAGAAAACTTATAAAAATCTATTTAAAAGTTTTTTGACATATCAATGTTCCCAAGAGTTGATGCATCTACCTGTATTCTTCTACCATGACACGATTCTGTAATCAAATAAACATTGCAAACATTGACCCGAGAAAAAATGTAACATCTGAACATAATCCATGAACTTTTACTTTATTTTTTTTTTAAATCCATGCTCTTCAAATGATATAATACAGTTCCTTACTCCAAAACATACCTTCCTCTTCTGCTTTGCGCTTGCTTTCCTTCCTCTTTTCCTCCTTCTGTTTATTAGATATTTGAGAGATTGTATCTCATTGGGACGCACACTAAATATGGGTCGTGTCATAATGACATCGATGTCGGCATAATGACGCCACGGAGGATCCATGTCTTTCTTCGATTCCATTTCCTTCTTCAGACTATTATAAAAACACTTTATGTTCTTGATGCATGTGGTTATCTCCTCTGGTGAACGATAGTAGCCATAGGTCCTTTCTTATGTCTTCTCTTTACAGCCCACTTTTGTTATCCCTTACTTTAGGAAAAGTGAAGGATAAAGTTCACATTATTGGGTTCTCATTATTACAGGTTTCATTTAAAATATAAGCATTTTTTAAAGAGATTTGGCTAGCCTTTTGTAAAAGTAACTGGTAGTCACTGCATTTTTTACAATGACATATTCATTTTAGTTTGAAAATAATAAACAAAACAAATTTGTAATTAATTTCGTGAAATAACTTTATAATTTAGTTCTTCAATATAAAATAAACGATTTGCGTTATTAATTTCTTTATTTAAATAAATGTTGCTGTTATTGTCATATTATCAATATAAAATATGGCAACATGAACGTTAAAAGATAAAGGGAAGTTGGTCTGGCCTTTCTATTTCTATTAAATGAGACTTGTAATAACGAAAAACGATTTATATGTCCGACAACATCACTTTTTTATCTATCGGAATGATGTAATAACCGGCCTATATGTACTTTACTCATGTATTTCACAACTGAAATGTCGTCCATGTATTGCACGATGCGTGTATCTTCTACGTATGGAAGTGAAGGATAAAGTTCACATTATCGGATTCTCATTATTACATCTTTCGTTTAAAGTATATGTATTTCTTACAGAGATATGGCAAGTTTTTTGTAAAAGTAACTGGTAGTCACAGGATACAGGTAGATGCATCAACGCTTGGAAGCATTGAAATGTCAAACAATTTTAAATGTTTTTTTAAATATAAGTATATTTTTATATGTTTTCTTATACGACGTCATTCGAAGGTTCTTATAATTCGTGTTTTTCAACAATTTTTACAAATTTAAATAATCGGCCTAATTACGGTTGTCGTTTCTATAGTCGTCGTTGACTTTATGTACAAGTCGCCCTAACTGTCGCTTCGATTCAAAAATGGTATTACGGTAAGTCACGGAAGCGACATCGATACTTTAATATAAAAGTTGGCAACAATTAAAAAGCGTTGGCAACACTCCCTTATTATTGACAAAATAAGATAAAATTTTGTTTATATTTTGAATTCTAATTTCGTCTCTTTCAGAAAAATAAAAAATATAGTGAAAAAATCGGATATTATAAATGCGTTACATATCTCAAGTTCAAGTGAGGATGAAGTGAGGATGTATTAGTAGTGCAGCAGCGAGTGCTAAGGCAGCAAACAAACATATTTGCATTGCCTGAATCTTGATTGTGTTGTTCCAAAAGTTTATACCTCCCTTTCAAGAGTTCAATAGTTTCTTCTTTCCTTGATGTCTTTTTATCATTGTTTTTTTCTGGGCGATCGAGAAGTTTGGGGTAGTTATATCAGTCTCGTCATCAACATTGTCCATTGGCTCATTTTCATGATCTATAACGTCTGTTATAATTATTTTTTTCCATATTTTTTATTCCAAGTGCACGACCTGGTGGATTCAGTAACTTTTGACACTGCATTACATTCGCGAAGAACTCCTCCCAAAGCGACAAAGTCATTTGCTTAAAAATACCACCTCCAGTGCTGCTGGTTTCACCTTATTGTGCACAATTGTTTTTCAGTTTTAAATTTTAAATTATTTCAAACGTAGAAGAACTTATGGTAAAATTAAGAAGGTAAAGTCCTTTCAAATAAGCATTCCCATCTCAGCATTTTCAGTAATTTACCTTGTCACATTTCATTACATTAAAACAGGTTTCCATCTCTGATTTGTGTATGTACAATGAATTAATAAATACAAATTTTGACAATAAGATGTTGTCAAATGAAAAATTTTTGAAAAAAATTTAAACATATGATTGCATGACTTTACCTCCTTGATTCTACCATGGAAGAACTTTAGAAAACTAACTAATAAAAATACCAAAAATAATTTTAATTTTGACATACTTTTTGCCAGTCTCTAATCGGTGACCCGTTTGCATTTAATTTTGTAGCAATGGATTCCAATCTGATTTAAAATTAGCTGGAAAATGGCCTTTGGTAAACCCTTTTGCCAAACATGTTTTTTTTTTCCAATTCGGAAACCAACATTTCAAATTGTTTTGCTGTTGTTAATTTCATGGTCAAATATCAAATACAAAAATGTTAAAATATCAACGTCGACTAAAAGAACAATATCGTCAAAATTTTTTACGGCGACAGATTTTCTTAAAAATCGACTTCACGTCGGCTGTTGTATCGACAATTATAATCGGCCCAATTACGGTTGTCGTTACTATAGTCGTCGTCGACTTTATGTGCGAGTCGCCCTCGCCGTCGCATCGATTCAAAAATGGTATTATGGTAAGGCATAGAAGCGACATCGACAGTTTAAAATAAAAGTTGGCAACAATTAAAAAAATGTTGGCAACACTTCCTTGTTATTGACAAAAAAATATATTTTTTTTTGGTATTTTGAATTCTAATTTGGACTCTTTCGGAAAAATAAAAAATATAGTGAAAAAAATGAAGATTATAAATGCGTTACATATCTTAAGTTCAAGTGAGGATGAAGAGAAGAATGTATTTGTAGTGCAGCGGCGAGTGTTAAGGCAGCCAACAAACATATTTGCATTGCCTGGCTCTTGATTGTGTTGTTCCAAAAGTTTACACCGCTCTTTCAAGAGTTCAATAGTTTCTGCTTTCCTTGGTGACTTTTTAACATTGTTTTTTTCAGCATTGTCCACTTGCTATAACGTCTATTACACTTATGTTTTCCTTATCTTCTATTCCAAGTGCACGACCTGGTGGATTCCATAACTTTTGAAACTGCATTATATTCGCGACAGACTCCTCCAAAGGCGACAAACTCATTTGCCTAAAAATGCCACCTCCATTGCTGCTGGTTTCACCCTTGTTGTGCACAAGTTTCTTTTTAGTTTTAAATTTTTAATCTTTCCAAACCTAGAAGAATTTTAGAAAACCAACTAATAAAAACATATAAAAATAATTTTAATTTTTACATACTTTTTGCCAGCCATCGGAGTCTCTAATCGGAGGCCCGTTTACATTTAATTTTGTAGTAATGGATTTCCAATGTGAATTAAAATTTGCTGGAACATGACCTTTGGTAAATCCTCAATCAATTCGGAAACCAAAAGTTCAAATTGTTTTGCTGTTGTTATTTTCATGGTCAAATATCAAATACAAAATGCTTACAATATCAACGTCGACTAAAAAGTACTATGTCGTCACAATTTTTTACGGCGACAGATATTCTCAAAAATCGACTTCACGTCGACTGTTGTATCGACAATGATAATGGCAACCATTTGTCGCTATCGACAAAAAACGACAACCCTAATATCATTATTGTCGCCTCGACTTCATTTTGCGACGCCGACGATAACCGTAATAGGGCCGAATAGCAATTATTTGTCGCTATCGACAAAAAACGACAACCCTAATATCATTATTGTCACCTCGACTTCATTTTGCGACGCCGACGACAACCATAATAGGGCCGAATTTTTCATTCAACATTTTCAATTCCAAAATTGGTTTGACAGTTCATTGTCTCAGCAGCTGTGTCGATGCGTCTACCTATATTCTTCTACCATGGGAAAGATGTAATAACTGGCCATTAAGTATTATATAACACATGGAAACATTCATGCATAATAAAAGTGACAGTATATATTTAACCCTTATAGCATGGTAGAAGAATACGGGTAGATGCGTCAACGCTTGGGAACATTGATATGTTAAAAAAATGTTAATGTCCTTTCGAATATAAGTAGATTTTTATATGTTTTCTTTTACGACGTCATTCGGAAGTTGTCATAATACGCGTTTTTAAGCAATTTTGACAAATTTAAATAATTTTTCATTCAACATTTTTAATTTCAAAATTGGTTTGACTGTTTATTGTCCCAGCAACAGTATCGATGCGTCTACCTATATTCTTCTACCATGCCTTATAGTCTGATAGCAGCTTTACTGAGTAAATGTTACTGGGAAAGTAAACGAACGAACCTACAATTGTGTATCCCATGGTACTATATTTACCTTGCCCTGATATCCATAAACGCTAATAACTGTGTAAGTCAAAGGGCATTTTAATTTCCACATTTATATTCGATTTGGAGCTTGCTCTTAAAGAAAGATTCGCCGATGTTATTTATCGATCTTAGATAAAAATGATACGCACAGCGTTGAGCGAGTTTACAAAAATCTTCTGTGACAAGGGAATCAGGCAAACCATAATAATTAACAACAAACAAATTTAAGAGGTAATCTCATTTACCAAATCGGGAATGACAATCTTTTTTAATTTGGAACTCATCCATGGTAGAATATACAGGTAGCAGCAGGTGTTTTTATACACCACACGTAAAAACAACCGCATACAATTTTTTTGTACATAACAATTAATTTTCAATAAATTATTTTAATTTCGAAAATATACATTTTTGGAATTTTGAGAATTAAAATTAAAATGTAGATGAATAGTTCTAAAAATATTTAATTTTAATGCATTCATATCATTTCCATTTTAGCTGTAGGTCCAAATCTCTCAACACTTCAAGCAATCGCTAGAAAATCGTGAAAAACAACATCTCTTTTAAATTAAAACCAAAAAAAAGTTTATACCTATTGTATCTCAAGAAATGAAATTTAATCATAAAACGTCAAATCGAATTTGACACGGTATGATTCGTAATTCATAGTAAAATAATTCCTTTTTTCAAAAATTTTGTTTGTTGATTTTAATGGGAATTTTAATAAAGTACATTAAATTCTCACTAATATGAATAGAATAAATGATTGTTTTTCTCCCAAAGATTTATTATATCAATAATTTTATAATTTTCATTCACGTTTTCAACTTTTTGAGTAAATGTTGACATTTTGAATATATTTTTGTATTTTTCTATTTTTAAATTCTGCTGGAGAGACACTTGTCAAACATTTTTTCTGTCAATACAAACATTTTGAAAATATTGCCTCTTTTGTTTGCAGTTTTCTGTGAAAATTTCAACTCGTGGACAAAATGCGTACCTCGGATGAGAGAGAAAACAAAATTTACTTTCGTTTGAATGTAAATACGCTATTCAACATTGTAGTTTTCATTCATAATTTTCAGTCTTCCCAAAATTTTTCAAAATTTCATTAAATTTTTCTATTTTCAATTTTTAAATGTCATAATTTATTTTTTCGATAAATGCTCTCATTTGTTAGGGATGGAACATATTTTTTCGTTGTTCTGAGAGTGATTTGATTTGAACAATGTACAAATATGAGTGTTCGCTCAGGAGATTTTGTGTGAAGAATTAAGTAGTTTTTTCATAGTTAAGGGTCAAACAACGAATAGAGAGCGAATCAAGTGCAGTGGAAACGCCACATTACGCAGGCCGAGTGACATATGCTATGTTCCAAAACCTGCAAGAATTTACTATTTTTACCATTTTGATCGATATCATAAATGGAAAATCGGTTATCGTGTTAACAATTTGTACCATGGTAGAAGAATATAGGTAGACGAATTGACACAGCTGCTAGGACAATGAACTGTCAAACCAATTTTGCAATTGAAAATGTTGAATGAAAAATTATTTACATTTGTACAAAATGTTGAAAATTCCGAACTATAATAACCTCCGAATGACGTCATATAAGAAAAAATATAAAAATCTACTTATATTTGAATAAACATTAAAAACTTTTTGACATATCAATGTTCCCAAACGTTGATGCATCTACCTGCATTTTTCTGCCATGATTTGTACACTCTTACAGTACTGGAACAGATATACATATACTTTTGCAAAATTAAAAATATTTAAATCGCAGAACAAGGTATAAACAAATAGATATTATGCAATATGCAAATATTATGGCTATGCAAATTGGAAGGAACAGCTTTTTATTGCGCCATGGCTTGGACAGCGTTACTTAAAATTCAAAGTATACGGTCGATATTTTTTACAACACAAGTAAAACACATGAATTCATATGAGTAAAACCCATGGTAGAAGATTGAAGAAAACAGGTAGTCGCTCGATACAGCTGCTGGGACAATTAACTGTCAAACCGATTTTGGAATTGAAAATGTTGAAATTTTACAACGCAATTGTTGGGATGTGTTAAGATTTGGTCCTGGCGTATTTGGTTAATACAGACGTTCAAAACATTTCACCAAAGTGGGGAATTTGAATATTTGTGTTCGTCGAATTTTAGATTGCGCCATGGTACAATAAGGAGGTATAACAGTTTCGTAAAACTACAGAAATACACCCCTGAGGCTATGCCCGCTTCCTGTCAAATTTACAATCAACAAGTTGTTTACATTTACTATACATTTTTCCGCATATTTAAATTGAGTTAAATAGCGCGAAAAAATGAATGGAATGCCTGAATTTTCTTTCAAAAATATGATCTAAACTGATCGATCTTTCAATTCCATGGCAAAATATGCGAATAGCTTTAATGTGCATCCCGCAATTTACGTTTCTTCCAATCATTAATTTTGAAAATATTTTGTCTTTGTTTTTCAAAACAATAAATACATACACAAAATTGGCAGAAGTCGGGCACACTGAAAAAAAAAATCAGGTAATCAAGGTAGAGCTAACACCTTACCTTTTTATTGTACCATGGATTGCGCTGTGATATTTATTTTGGCAATCAGCTGATCATTTAATTTGGTTATGACAGCTTTTATATTTCGCAATAAAATTAGGTCTCACTACTCAGAACGTAAACAATAACATCTGTATATGACGTACACATTTTATTTGTTTCCTACAGAGAAAATCTATAAAATTCAGTTGTTTCGATCTACCAAAGAGATTGCAATTAACGACTTCATTACCCTATAATTTCTCTATTATCAGAAGAACAGCCCTTGATATCAAACTACTCAACATCCGTTGTGCATTAAACGCATCAACGGAGATACCCGTATTACGCCGTTGACAATTTTCGTAAAAATGTAGTAGTCGTCCTAATCGGTTCTGTAAATGTTCGTGTGAAACGACACCGATTTCACAAAGAGAAAAAGTTGAGTGCGCTTGATTTATTCCATCTTGCAAAGAAAATTATAGACAATCTACGTTGATATGGATAAGCTAAAAGTAAAGGTGATTGGAGTTTTGAAGGAACGCGAATCGAAAGTGAATTATACCAACGACACTGGCCTGAAGATTGCGGCGACAACAATACCCAGTCAGCGACAGCAATTACAACAGCAGCATCAGCAACCTATAAGAATGTCGGCATTAGATATCTCGGGCATACTCAACTGTCGAAGAAGAATGGAATGGACAAAGGAATGGTTGAAAAAGTATCAACACGAGTTCCTAAACAAGGAGAATTTACGAAAAGACTTGCTTTTTCGCAGTAACGAAGTGTATCACATCAATCACTTCTTTAGCATTACAGAAAAACAGTTTCGACACCTAGTCAACATCCTGGAACCTCTTGTAATGGTGTTAGAGCCCCATAGGAGGAAGAAGCCGTTCAGTGCCGAAGAACGGATTGCCATAACACTGAAATATCTGGCTACGGGTAAGCAATAATTGTTTTGTAAAATTGTCACTGAATCCAACAGGAACCTAAAAATGGGAAGATATAATTCTAATACTATCTTGAAACTGTTCAAAAAACAAGCTATATCAGTATCTATTTGTTTAAAATTCCGAAAACCAGATTGCATTGTTATAGAGATCTATTACGAAAATAGGCCGATAAGTTATTGATTAAAAAAGAAAATACAATATTTAGTAAAGGTATTTACAATATATATATTTTTTTTAATTAAAAATATTTTTTTTTTTTCAAGATCAAACAATTGTAATTTTTAGTTTACAAGTTTTGTTAATGGCCACAACTCGGACTGTTTAGAAATGTCGGAAGTCTTACTAGTCGGCCACCTCATACCTTAAGACACTGTTACGAACGGTACGACTTGTTAACTAAGAACGTGTATGAGCGTAGGCAAATCCTCCGTATTTTGTAATTGTTTTGTTGTTCTGCTAGTGCGAAGAATTGAATCAACGACCTCAGATTTTTTAATCGGACGTACCATTTTTTACAGAATACTTTCTCCTTAAAAGTTCATAAAATGGGTTTGTATGTCGTTTGTTGAACCCAGATTATGTTCAAAGTGGTCGCACTTGGTCTGGACTTAAATGTCCTTCGTACTAAAGAAAGAAGCACACCCCTATTAACTTTTTTGCTTTTATTTGTGAGTCGATACATGGTCTATTGTGGTGCCCGGACATAACTCACATAATAAAAAGTGGGAATTATGTCCGCTTCCCAAACGGGCATAATCTCATTTTGGAGTATGCCCGTGTGATGTGGCGATTAAGTCCGAACATTTTTCGGAACGAAGGAAGAAAACAAGGCTTAAGGTGAGTTTAAGGCATATTTGTTGATATCTCTTGTAGTTCCGAAGATAGTGACTTTAAAATCAAAGGCCGACTATTTATAAAAGATATAAAGTTTTAAAATGCTATGGACCGTGTAGTCGGTGTTGGACATACCCCAGAGAAGAATATCTCAAACCCAGGCAGAAGTGCGGGAACTTACAAAAGTTATAAAATTTAGAAAAACTATGGATCGCGTAGGAGAAAATATCAAGCCCCGACCGAAGGCCGGCTATTTAAAAGCTATGAAGCTTAAATACATATTAGTGGAGAAAATCTAAATTTCAATTTATTACTAAAATCTTCAGAACTATAAGAAATATTAGCACATTTTACAGCATTTTGGAAAGGCAAGAATGTAGGATATGGTGAAGTATTGTCGACATTTTAGGGGGTTTTCAGAAAGTTCCGGTACAAAAATACTTATTTCCTTGTGTCAACTATCAAAATGAGTTTATGAGTCAGTCGTCGTTGAGCATTGACCGAGAGCGGACGCATCTAAGGAGCGTAGAGCATATTACATTTTAAACTTTGTATTTATTCCCAGAATTACTTTTATTTTTAAATAAAAACCATCTTGACAGAATCAGAAGTGGGATAAGAACAGAAATCTACAAGGAATTTCATCATTTTGGATAAGAATTGCAGAAAAATACTCAAAGAGCTGAGAAACTAAGGCGTCAAAGTGATGTAGTAGTGAAGAGCTCAATGCAAAGCAACAACGACGACCAAAGGAGAAACCACGCAAAGGCACCTAAACTCAAAAGTTCGAGTGAGTTTAGTGAGAGTGTGTAACGTGCTCAAAGAGAGCAAAGGAGAAAGCATCAATCAAAGGAGAATGTACAAAGGTATACTCAAAAGTGTGAGTGAGTAGGACAACGATAGTACATCAAGGAGATTGAAAGCAAGACATAAAGAGGGGAACCCCGAAGAAGAAGTTTAAAAAGGGAAAAGTTAACGTATATTTTTAGGGCGTGCGGCTTCTAAAAAAAAGGAATAGTTCTAGATTTGCTGAAGTAACGAATTAAAAAGGAAAATTCACAAGGAAAAGTATGAAGGTGAAAATAAGTTCGTTAAAGGTTGCGGAGCTAGACAAATTATTACTGGCAAGAAGCTTACCACGAACAGGAAATAAGTCCGAGAAAATTGCTAGACTCATGGCTTGCAATGGAAATGACGAAGTGGAAGTTGAAGATTCAGAGTCACAGGAGGATTTCCATGGATTTGATGAAGCTGAGACGGGTGATGATTCTCTAACAAGTCAAATGCGAGAGCTAAAGGATATAATGTTGACTCTAGCAAGAAGTGTGCAACAGTTAACAACACTTTCAACAGAAAGGGCTATTACGTCAAATGCAGGGTTAAATTCAAGGGATACAGAACAGCAAGTTCCAGCTGAAGTAATATCAAGACAATCTGGTTCCGGAACATCTGGTTGTTTAAAGGATTACATAGTAATGATACCAGACTTCGATCCAATTAAAGGAAATGTTACATCAGTCCAATTCATTGACAAGGTTGAAACGTTGCAAAGGCTTCATGGATGGTCAGATGAAACAACTTTGTTTGCAGTTCATCATAAAATGAGTGGTGTTGCTAAAATGTGGATAGATGCTTTACCAGTGGTTGAAACATGGAAAGAGTTCAGACAACAATTTTTAAAGGATTTCCCAAGTCGAGTAAGTGTTGCTGACATTCATCGTGAACTTATAGCTAGGAAACGAAACTCGAATGAGTCTTTGGTGGAATATTATTACGCAATGTTGGCCATAGGGAAAAGAGGAAGCGTAGATGAGGCATCAATACTGTCGTACATCATAAATGGTCTCAATGATAGCAGCTTAACAAGAACACTTTTAGCTATGAACCCGCAGACATGTAGTGAATTATTAAGGTCGTTGGAGAATTTGACCATACAAACGTATGCAAGGAAGCAAACAAAGAATGACGAGGATGACAAAACCGTAAGTGTCTCAGGTGGAGCGCCAACCAAGGGAGTAAAATGTTTCAATTGTAACAGGTTTGGGCATATCTCAACTAGTTGCCCACAACCATTGAAGAAGCCGAAGTGTAGTAAATGTGCAAAGATTGGTCACGATGCATCGCAATGCAAAGGTAAAGGTACAACTGTGGCAGCAATGACAGAAGAGTCTAAGGATTACTGCCCACCGGTTATGAAAGATGTTACGGTCAATGGTAAGACATATGAAGGTTTTGTGGACACTGGAAGCGACTTTACCTTAATGCGGAAAGCTGTAGTTCCAGAGGGTTGCGATATGGAAGTAACGTCAAAAAGAATGAAAGGTTTTGGTGGATCTATTGTTGAAGTGGTGGAAATGTTTGAGGCTAACGTTGTCATCGACGAGGAGAGTTTAATGACTACCATTTATGTAGTGCCGAATGACTTGATGCGATATGACGTTCTCTTAGGAAGAGACGTATTGTGTAAGAAGCAAACAAAACTTACAATTGAGCATGGTGTCTTGAAAGTAAAGTCAACAATGCCAAGTACATTTAATGTCGGAGAAAGTCTGGATGAGCATCAAAAGGAAAAATTAGACCAAATACTGTCGTCATTCAAGGACTGTTTTGCTGAAACCCTTGAAGACCTTGGAAAGTGCTTCAATATTGTCACAGATTGCAATTCCATAGCAACAACAAAGGCGACGTCTCCATTACCCCCTCGTATAGCTAGATGGTGGTTTAAATTGCAGGAGTTTGATTTTACCATTACTCATCGCTCAGGTGCCAAGATGACTCACGTGGATGGGATGAGCAGAAGTCCAACGTTACCATCAAGTCAATCCCGAACAGTAGCGGAAAATGTTCTGGCACTCACAACGAACATTAACGACTGGGTCTATCAACTACAAATGTCGGATAAGAAGCTGAAACACATCTTTGAAGTTCTCAATGGTAATTTGCAAAACGAGGCAAATGAAATTAAGCAGATCAAAGCGGACTATGTAATAGAAAATGGGAGGCTATTTCGCAAAGTCAACAATATGAAACGTATGGTGATTCCAGAAAGAGTCCGGTGGCGAATAACTAAGGCTTGTCATGATGATTTGGGACACTTCGGTGAAGAGAAAACTCTCCAAAGGCTTCAACGTGATTTCTGGTTCCCGAGAATGAGACGTTATGTAAAATCATACATTCAGTCATGTCCGGAATGCTGCTACAACAAGGTAAAAGGAGGCAAGGCAGAGGGTGAACTACATATTGAGGAAGTCCTACCAATTCCATTCAGAAGTATCAACATCGACCACATGGGTCCCTTCCCAAAAAGTAAGAAAGGAAATCAATATGTATTCTTGATTGTCTGTTCGTTCAGTAAGTACACCATTATAAAGCCAACCAGGAATACAAAGACTGCTCCGGTTATAACAGCGCTGCGAGAAGTTATGTCGATTTTCGGACAGCCACGAAGAATTGTATCGGATAAGGGAACGGCGTTCACGTCTAAAGAATTCCAACAGTTTGTGGAATACAACGGAATACAACATGTACAAACAGCAGTCCGAACACCAAGAGCCAATGGCCAAGCCGAGCGGATCAACCAGACAGTTTTGAATGCGTTGAAATGTCTAGTAGGTGATACAAAAGAATGGGACACTGAGACAACGACGATACAGTGGAGTATTAACTCGCAGCTGAATGCGACTACAAAGTTCAGTCCAAATGACTTAATATTCAACTTTAGTCTCAGAGATGTCAGTTACAATAGAATTATCCAGGCGGTTGGTGATGAAGAAAGAGAGAATTTCGATGTTAGGGTAATTCAACAGCAGGCTGTTGCTAACATCCAGAAACAAAAGGAAAAATGGAAAGCAAGATTTGACAGCCGTCATTCCAAGCCAACTCAGTACAAGGAAGGCGATTTGGTGGTGATAGACACGGTACCGCAGCCTACAGGAGAATCGCATAAGTTGGATGCGCGGTATAAAGGACCATACATCGTCACGAAAATTATCGGAAACGATCGTTATCTGGTAGAGGATCTGCCGGATTTAAGTTTGAAGCAAAGGAAATATTGCGGTGTTATGTCGACCGATCATATGAAGCCCTGGTGCTATGGTGATCCAAGTCTCGAAATCGAAGATAAAGATGAGTCTGATGATGTTTCGCCCAGGAGGGACGAAGAGTCAGGAGAGGCCGAATTGTCAACTATCAAAATGAGTTTATGAGTCAGTCGTCGTTGAGCATTGACCGAGAGCGGACGCATCTAAGGAGCGTAGAGCATATTACATTTTAAACTTTGTATTTATTCCCAGAATTACTTTTATTTTTAAATAAAAACCATCTTGACACTTGTATTGCTTTGGAACCTGTTCAGACAACCCCGTTTCCATAAGCTTGGAAATATGAAACCCATCTTGTACATATCATAACCGAATTTTGCATCCGAACTTTTGAGTCGAATAACTAACCGGGTATTTCCCCCACGAAAAAATACTTTGCCTAATTAGGTTAAAAATGCCTAACTCAAAATGGGTTGCGGATATAAACGCAATCGTTTTAATAGTAACGGACGTAATACCCATAATTATGGGGATTATGTCCATTACTATTATAGCCGATTTTTTTTACATAATCCTTCTTACTTTAATGGGGGTTATGTCATAATTCTTAATGTTGATATACAGGGTGAGATGAAAAAAAAATGCAACTAATTTCAGACTATGTCATTTCTAAGACAATCGCCCGGCATCTGTATTGTTGACAAGCGTACAAAATCATTTTTCAGAAAAAAAGCTCTTTTTTCAATATTTGCCGAATGGAATATTGCGATATGTTCAGCTCACGAACCATTTTTCGGCCACTGCGACGCAGGTTTCGATCAAGTCGCTTCTTTACTTTTCAAACCATTTCTACTGATTTTGCTGTTTTCTTCCGTTAACTTCCTTGACGTCGGACTACGCTACCAGTATCACGGTAATGAGCTATGGTGCGAGACACAAAAGATTTATTCACATTTAAATACTGGAGTGCTGTAAATATAGCCACTTTTTGTTTTCCAGCCAAATATAATGAAATCATACTATCACGCTTGAATTCCACCACAAATAACTTTTTTCTAGAAAATTCTCACCAAAATGCTTTTGTACGCTTGTAAACAATATAATGAGCTGTTACTGGAATAATTTTAACAGCTGTCGGACGAGTGGCTTAGAATTGACACCAGTCTGAAGTTGGTTGCAGTTTTTTCGTCTCACCCTGTATAACAATTGTATGACCTTTCAAAACTATAAATTTCTACATCTTTATTAGTTAGTAGATTTTAAGAGATGGGCCTGGGGAAGTTGTATTAATATAGGCTAAGTCGAATTCCAGGTAACGCTGTTAAATTTCAACACAGTGTAAAATGTTTTAAGATTATTTTGTACATATTTAGCTCCCAGATTAATTTTTCATCCGATTTCGATCGAACATTACAAATCTCAATGGGTCTTAGAAAAACTTCTCTCGTTGGCGTATTCGTTTTAGAAGAAGCATTTTTTTTTCTAACGGACCAGTTTTATTTTTATTTTATTCCCACACAAGGCTTTGATGTGGCTCATATAAATGTGTAAATTAGGATGCTTCATTGATTTTCAATAGAGTGTTGGGTTTATTTTTATTCATCTTGATTATAGATAGATAAACATGTATGCCCATTGTAAGACACAAATGTATATTTCTAAAAATAAATGTTGTATTTTTATTTTACAGGCGAAGTAAATTCGTGCCGTAATTATTGTTTCCGTGCATCCAAACCAGTTATAATCAAGATGATTGCAGATATTTGCGAAAAAATATATGAATTATTAAAAGACGAATACGTTTCCTTGCCAAAAACCGACGAAGAATGGATTAACGTCATTGGAGGCATGCAAAAATCTCAGCAGATATCAAATTGCTTGGGCCATTTAATAATGCGGCAAGTGGTTTTCCACGCAGCCAACCACCAACCGGCTAAGCCACGTGCTATTTTATGGGATGATGGAGAGGATAAAAGCTGTTCCAGACAACCGCCACTAATATTAACGGCAATAGTGGATGGCAACTACAATTTTTTGCATTTGGATGTGGAAAAAACCAAAGCAAAGTTTTACGATGAAATTTTTGAAAATTCCAAAATTCGAACACTCATTGAAGAGAACACCATGCTTATTCCTGCTGTTGTCAAAGATGTCAATGGTAGCTGTAGATCGTATTCATTTGCCAGCAGCTATTCACTGCCAGAAAAGCACTACTTGAAAGCGATTTCGGAGTTAGAATTCAGTGCAATCAACAACACTGAGACAAATGATGCATTGTGCATGCTGACTAACATGTTTCCTGTGTTGGGCCAACCACTGCGACTTGGCGAAACAGAGGCGCAAAAAATCATTCTTGGTAGTGTAGCACTGTATAATTATTTGCGAAAAACCAATCAAGAATATTGTAAACTTACTGAAAGAATCGTAGTAGGTTCGTCTATTAAAGTCAACACGAACGAAGACGATGTTGATGACGAGTGTATACTAATTGAACAAGACGAATTTTCTCCGAACGTGTCCGATTCCACATGTTTTAAAACTTTAAGAAAACAACGTGGGGATATTCCAGCTGGTTTGGAATGGTAACTACAATCATTTTTACAATTACTACTGTAGTTGCGTGCACCTGTCTGATTTAAATAAATAAGATAAAAGAAAAACAAAATTAACTAAATGGTGAATTGAATTTTTACTCGACATAAATCATAAACAGGATTAAAGGTTCTCTACCAAAAACAAGTTTTCAAAGAAACATATATTTATTTAAAATTTCTATTATTAAAAAATAAAGCAAAATAAAATGCCTGAAATCAAAAGACGTATTGGAAAGTATGGAGATTTGGAGAAGATTGGACTTTCTTATAATTACATTTCAACTGATTTGTGATCAATTAGATCTTAATCAAATAAATTTGAAATTGAATTATTTGTGAGCTTATAAGGTGTTTTTGTTGCGTAATAAACTAACAGTATTTCAAATAAAAAATTAGATTTATACTCACATTCAAGTTTTTATATTGACGCGTACAGTATTCCAGTTAATAATGGTAAGTACAAATTATGAAAACGTTCTATTATCAAATATAGTAACCTAGCAGCCCGTCCGGCCAGTATCCCAATGTTGTCTACTGAGATATGTGATAATTTGAAGAAAATGTTAAAATGTGCTTCATTTAATACAGACAAAAATATTGGTAAGGGAAAAGTTACAGGAAAATCGAACATTTATATCCAGTTTTATGCGAAATTATAAATTCCATATTCATCTCAGGTTTCTGGTTGATAGAAATATTTAGATATAGTAAATTGTAAAAAATCGCCGATTTGATTCGCAAGTTAAGACAGATAAAATATTAAAAATTGTGTCTCTTTGTGGATGAGATGCCAGAAGGGGCTCGCAGATATATATCATCTTTACAACAGACCTTGTGTTGAAAGAATATTAAGATGTACGAAATTTAAATGAAATCGGATGTTAATTTCGCTTTTTATGATCGATTTGGTTATTTAAATGTTTGGCCTTTTGTGGGGGAGGTACCAGAAGAAATGGCACGATCTCTATAATCTTTGTAACAGATCTTGTGTTGATGAAAATATTCAGATGTAAAAAGTCTCAATAGAAACGGAAGTTAATTTCGCGTTTATATGATTCATGGATTATCAAAATTTTGACACTTTGTGGGGGAGGTACCAGAAGGAGTGGGCCGATATATCCTATCCTAACACCAGACCTTGGGTTAATAAAAATATTGGTATGAAAATTGAAGACAATCGGGCTCTTACTTTACTTTTTATAAAAGTTATAATTATTTAAAATTTTGAACCTTTATGGGGGAGGTACTTGATGGAGTGGAACGATATTGTCCATTTTCGCACCTAACCTAGCACTAATGCAAACATTAGGATTTGCAAAGTTGGAAAAAACCGGATTATCATTTCTCTTTCTGTGCAGAAAATATTTTTTTTTTTGAAAAATTCGACCTGTGTGTGGGGATATATGAAATTTTAGGACAATCGGATTCTTACATCCCTTTCTATAACAGTTGTAATTATTCAAAATTTTGACCCTTTGTGGTGGAGGTACTTGATGGAGTGGACCGATATTGCCCATCTCCGAACTCGATCTAAGTTTGACAAAAGTATTTCGATGTACCAAGTTTTGACCAAATCGGATACTCCTTTTAAGAGTTGTCGTGTGCACCAGACGGACGGACAGACATCGCTAGATCGACTCCAAATGTTCTGAAACGGATTTGGTCGAAACAGACCTAGACACTGTCATATAAGCCTTTCACAACAACACCTCAATCCCACGGCGACCGGTTCTATGTACCGGATTGACTCGGAGGCACATATCTCCGACCAGGGGCCGCCAACCCAGCAAATACATGTTCGTGTTCGTCCATTTTTCTGATGTGGGAGCAACATTACCCGGAATGTTTGCTCCGTATTCTCTTGGTCCGAGCCGGGATCGAGACCAACCCCGGACCATGGTTCTGCTCCGTTTGTCGTAATCGCATCCACCACAGATCGGTTTCGGTGAGATGCAACGGATGCATGGAGTGGGTGCATTTCCGGAATTGTTCCGGCCTAAACCGGATACAGGAGTATAGCGATAGGGACTACATTGCTTCCTGCTGCGTCAATGTAGACCCCAGTGAGTCTTCATCTTCGGCGTCCTCATCGTCGTCGCAATATGAGACTCCCCCGCAATCTCCTCAACAGCAACCTACGCAGCAGTTGACGCCACTCATTGCTGTTCAGGTTCCGGATAATGCATCATTTCTCCAATTTAATTGTGATGGTCTCAGAGGTAAGATTAACGAAATTGTAAGCTTTATGAGTCGGAAGAACATCAAGGTCGCAGCGATCCAGGAGACGAAGCTGAGTACCACCTGCAGGCTTCAAAGTTGTGATGTATACAACGTACTGAGGAAGGATCGCTCCAGAGGTGGAGGTGAGCTTGACTCTAGTGACCCGTACATGGAATGTATGGGGGTAGCGGTCAAGTGTGGAACCGCCGAGGTAGAGGTGCTCAACGTGTACATTCCGCCGTTAAATAGCTGTGCCCCACGTTATATGCCTAATATCAGTTCACTACTGGTAGGCAATAACCGTCTGGTGATAGGGGATTTCAATGCCCATCATGAATTATGGCATTCCGTCCTAGGTAATGACCAGAGAGGCATGGCGCTGGCTGAGCAAATCGATAGCTCCACGTTTTGCACAGTGAATGAGGACGCGCCCACCAGAATAAGGGGAGACTGCCACAGTTCTCCGGACATATCCATCGTGTCCCCAGGTCTGACGAATGACGTAACTTGGCAATCAGTCATTTCTCTAGGCTCAGACCACCTCCCCATTATTATCGCCTTCAATAGACCACCCGACTTCATCGACTCTGAACGCCGCACTTTCCTTAACCACGGGAAAGCTAATTGGCAAGAATTCAGAGAGTATACCAATCGCCGCTTCAGAGAACTGCCCAACCCATCTGATGTTCAGGTAGCAGATAGGTGTTTCCGGGACATCATCAAAGCTGCAGCCGCTCGCTATATACCTGCTGGTCGAATACCTGAAATAAGACCAAATTTCCCAGCAGAGGCAGCGGGATTAGCAAACGAGCGAGATGAGCTTCGCCGTACTAACCCTAATAACCCCCGAGTCAGGGAACTTACTCTGGAGGTAAACAGGTTAGTAGGTGAGCATAAGCGGAAAAAGTGGTTAGAACATCTGAAGCATTGCAACATCGGTACCGGAACGAGTAAATTGTGGGCAACGGTTAAGTCGCTTTCGAACCCTGGAAAAAAGGACGATCGGACATCTGTCTCATTTAACGGCGTAGAAGTGACAGATCCGAAGAGGTGCGCGTGTTATTTTAACCGGCAGTTTGTAGAGCACCCCGAGAGTGACAGGGCGAAGAGAAGGATACTACGCCGTGTACGATCCCTTCCAGCCGAGGAGGTACCACCACAATTTACGTTGGCAGATGTTGCACAGGTCATCAGAAGCGCAAAGTCATCCAAAGCGCTTGGTCCTGACGGAATCTCAATGGTGATGTTGAAGCAACTGGATGAACCAGGAGTTGAGTATCTGACAAAGCTTCTCAATCTGTCGTTAGCCACCCTAGTAGTTCCCGATGCCTGGAAAATGGGCAGGGTGGTCCCGCTACTGAAGCCAGGCAAGGATGCCAGCAAAAGTGATTCATACAGGCCGATATCACTTTTGTCACCAGTAGCAAAGACGCTTGAGGCTTTACTCCTCCCCAGCATAAGAGAGTGTTTCCCAGTAGCCGATCATCAACACGGATTCCGGAAATTGCATAGCACAACAACAGCTTTACACGCCATTTCCACACATGTCAGTAGAGGTCTCAACCAGAGCAGGCCGTGCGATAGAACAGTTATGGTGGCACTTGATTTATCAAAAGCCTTTGATACAGTCAATCATGCCACACTGTTCGAGGACATTGAACGCACCACCCTCCGGCCAAGTTTGAAACGTTGGATAGTAAACTACATGTGTGGACGCAAGTCGTACGTGGAATTCAGAAACAAGAAGTCGAGCATCCGTAGAGTTAAACAGGGAGTTCCCCAAGGTGGGGTGATCGGTTGAACGCTTACCTTGTTGATCTTACCGCCTTTTTCACTGCGAGGAATATGAAGATATCCGCCACCAAGTCGACGGCCACTCTTTTCACCACATGGACTGCGGAGATGGGGCTATCCTTGAATGTGCAGGTCGATAGTTCTATTATTCCGACCACCAACTACCCCAAGGTATTAGGGGTCACATTCGATAGCCTCTTTAAGTCGTCCGCGCATACCACAGCTATCTGCGACAAGATTAGAAGTAGGAACAAGGTCCTCAAGTCTCTGGCCGGCAGTACTTGGGGAGCTGATAAGGAAACCTTGTTGACCTCTTACAACGCGATAGGCCGGTCTGTGGTAAACTATGCGGCTCCAGTGTGGTCCGCTAACGTCAGTGCTACGCAGTGGAAAAATGATCAGTCCTGCCAGAATGCCGCCCTTAGAACCGCAACAGGGTGCCTTCTCATGACACCTGTCGATCACCTACATGAGGAGGCGAAGGTCTTACCGGTGCGACAGCATAACAAAATGCTGTCAATGCAATACCTGCTTGGGTGTTATAGACAAAGCCATCCAAATCACCATCTTGTGGATAGGCAACCTCCGCCCAGGCACGTTAGGAAAGACCTTCATGATCTAGAGAGAGAGGTACAGAGGTATAAGAGAGAGCCTCTAGATCAACAGGCCTATCAAGCGGGACTGAATAGTATTCACTCTAATGCGGTCTCAGAAGCCATTGAAGGATATAGAGTGAATACTGTGCTAGGAGACCATCCCCCTCCCGTCGCAGCTGAAGAACGAGAGCTGCCCCGACAAACCCGAGTAGCCTTGGCTCAATTACGATCCGGATGGTGCAGCCGCCTAAATTCCTACTGGGCCCGGATCAACGGCGACGTGCAGAACATCTGCCCAGCATGTGGCACAGGCCCACATGACACGCTGCACTTATTTCGCTGCCCAGCCAAGCCTACTCACCTAACTCCAGTCTCGTTATGGACCCAACCCATTCAGGTTGCACCCTTTTTGAGACTGGACTTAGAGGCAGAACCCGATTGAACTGAGTCAGAAAATGGAAACCAAACGA